AAAAATCAAGCTAGGAATAAAGAATATTTTCTTGGCAGGGCAGTGGTGGCGCATGCCTTTAATCCCAGCACTTGGGAGGCAGAGGCAGGCGGATTTCTGAGTTTGAGGCCAGCCTGGTCTACAGAGTGAGTTCCAGGACAGCCAGAACTACACAGAGAAACCCTGTCTTGAAAAACCAAAAAAAAAAAGAATACTTTCTCATCTGCAGCCCAATGTTCTACTCCTGATATATAACCCCCCCTTTACTTTTGCAATAAGAACAAATAAATAAACTTTGAATTTTAAAAGTGTTTGTTCAGGGAAGTGCTGTAGCAGTTGCAGAGATAGATGCTGAGGGTTGTTTTTTTTTTTTGGTTTTGGTTTTTTTTTTTTGGTCTTGGTTTTTCGAGACAGGGTTTCTCTGTATAGCTCTGGCTGTCCTGGAACTCACTTTGTAGACTAAGCTGGCCTCGAACTCAGAAATCCGCCTGCCTCTGCCTCCCAAGTGCTGGGATTAAAGGTGTGTGCCACCACTGCCCGGCTGATGCTGAGGGTTTGAGTGATTTTTTTTAAAGTTTTATCTATTTTACTTATATAAGTACCCTGTAGCTGTCTTCAGACACACCAGAAGAGGGCATCATATTCCATTACAGATGGTTGTGAGCCACCATGTGGTTGCTGGGATTTGAACTCAAGACCTTTGGAAAAGTAGTCAGTACTTTTAACCGCTGAGCCATCTCTCCAGCCCCCAGATTGAGTCATTTATGTCTTTTTTACTTAACTGTCTTCTACTCCTCAGGAGTTGGAAGACCTGGATAGTTACAATGATGATCCAGAGGTGAGGTGCCTGTTTCCTGTGTAAAGAGAATAAAACAGTGTTCAATCGAAGTGTCAAGGAACAATCTAGAAAATAGGAGACACAGGAGGTCTTTGTACAGAAAGAGTAGAAGCGGGGGCACCTCTGTTCTATGACCATGGAGTTATAGAGGAATCTAGAACTTTCTTTGAGAGGTCTTGACAAGACCTTCATGCTATCGATGATACAGGCTTGTTCATCTGAGGCATCAAGGATGCAGAAAAGATCGAAGGACATCATCCCCATCCATTTCTGACAGTTTTTTATTTCAAAACTTTGTGGGCGTGGGGGATGGTTGCGTATATCTTCTTCTTGGCAATACTGTGTATGAATCCAGGGCTTCATGAATGTCAGACAAGGGCTCTGCTTCTAAGACCCACAGGGCGATGACGGTAGACACCTGCACTTCCTCCATGAGTCAGCCAAGAAACTCTTTTTCAGTCCCTGTCACAGTTTGCCTTCTGTTCAGTTGCTGTGATGAACACCATGCTTAAAAACAAATGGGTCTGTGTATCCCTGGTCAGCTCATAGCCAGTCACCAAGGGAAGTCAGGACAGGAACCCAAGGCAGGATCTCAGAGGCAGGGACTGAAGCAGAGGCCATAGAGGAATGCTGCTTACTTACTCTCTGCTTTTTAATCCAACCCAGGACCACCAGCCCAGGGGTGGCACCACCCAGAGTAGGCTGGGCCTCATATCAAGCACTAATCAAGAAAATGCTTCACAGACACGCCTATAGGCCAATCTGATGGAGGCGGTTTTTCTCAGTTTGAGTGTCCGTCTTCCCAAATACACCTAGATTTTTGACAGAAACCAACCTGCAGACTCCTCAAACCTTCACACAGAAGGCAGTCACAGCCAATCTAGGGGGCAGGTGCCAAGGCAGCTGGACACAATAGACAGCTATTTACCAAGAGCTGGGTGAATGAATCACTGTGTGAGGACATTTGTCACCACCACACCCTGGAATCTGCAGCAAAGGATGAAAACAGGCAGCCATTATTACCAGACCTTTCCAGCCCCTCTGGACTGCCTGCCACAACAGCCACCCCCAAATCCCCAGGGATCAGTTTTGGATTTAACCCTTCCTGTGCCAGTGGCTGGCAATTAGGACAGCAGTGGCAAGGGTCCCTTTTGCTTGTCTGGTTCTTTTCCCTTCCCCCAGCACGGATGAGGAAGCTGCTGGCCGGCCACTACAGATCGGCATTCCTGATGGACAGGAGATGCCTGTCCAGCCTGGCCGCTGACTGTGGAGAGGCCTGGGAGCCTTCCTTCTCCCAGCTGCGCTCTGCTGCCTTTGCAGGAGGACAGCTGCCCTGCCTGTCCAGTCTAACCAGCCCGGCACCTTGTCTGTGTGCTCAGGGTTGACTGAAACTCTCTTCCTCTTTCAGTTGGACTCAGGAGTAGGCGGAGCAGGTGGGAGTAGGCGGGGCAGGCGGGAGGAAGAGCAGTTCTCACTCCGCCCTGACCACAGGAGGTATTTACAAACATTCCCAATGACCCTGTAGGGTTGCAGGCCTGCCTCTGGGATAGCCAGCTGCCTGGGAGTGGTGGTGCAGTTTGTTGGTGGGTGGCCAGGACCTTCCCCACTTGTAGCCCTTATCACTGTGGCCGTGTATCCCCTAATCAGGTTGCAGTGTTGTCAAAAGGAGAGCAGACAGAGTCTCACTCAGTCACTGAGTCTTGGAGACCTCATGAAAGAGGAAACACCATCCTGTAGGTCCACATCTGGCTGGAAAACACCTTGTCGCCTCTTTATTGACATGTCAGTTCTCTGCTCCCCCCCCCCCCCATCACCACTAAGCCCAGCCTCAGGCATCTCAGCTGATCTCAGCTGGAAGTCAAAAGAAAAAAAAAGGCTCTGGTGTGTGCTGGTGATGAGGTGGCAACTGCCCTCCCCAACCCTGCCATCTCTCTCAGCCAGAGTCTCTGTCTGACAGAAACCCAAACACATGAGGTCACAAGTGCTCTTGACTTCCCCTTTCTTTCTCCACCTCCCTCTCTTTATCCCTTCCATGAGTGAAGAGATGCTGTCTCCTGCTCATCCTGAGAGGCTGTCCAGCTAGGGTTCCATCCTTGCTTGTTTCTTGTGGAAGTAGCACAGAAAATGTGAGTCTGGGAGCTGAGCCACATGACCCGTGTCTGTAATCTCAACCCTCAGAGGACAGAGACAGGACAGGGAGAAGTCTGAGGTCAGCTCGTTCTACCTGTGTGTGTGTACATATAGTAAAAATAAATATTTAAAAATTTTAAAATTATATGTGTATGTGTGTTTTGCTTGTGTGTATGTCTGTGTGACATACATGCCTGGTGCCTGCAGAGGCTAGAAGGGGCTGTCAGATCCTCTGGAACTATAGACAGTTATGAGCCACCATGTGTGTGCTGGGACTAGAACCTGGGTCATCTGGAAGAGCAACAAGAGCTCTTACCTGCTAAGTAATCTCTCCAATATATTTTTTTAAAGTAAGTGTGGAGGAAATCAGGGCAGTAAACTTATAGAGCCAATTTGAATCCTAGATGTAGATTTCATCTAGTGGGGGGCCACTGGACAAGCAAGACAGCCTACTGAGTCCATACTCAGCCGATAGTCATAGCAAGGATGGGTAAAGTTCAGGCAGATGGAACAGAGGGCAGACAGTCCTCAGAGGGAAATGAAGGCAAATGGCTATCACTGGCATGCTCTTCACTGGCACCAACGTCTGGCAACTGGGCTCAGTTTAAAGGTGCTGCCGCTCACAGCCTTCCAGTGGCTAGCTCACTAGGACTAACAGTGAGGTATAAACTCCAAATCCTGTGGTTCTATCCTGTTTTCTCCACCCCACCGCCAAGAGAGAAGCAGGGGAGTTAAACAAGTCACCTGCCTTTCAGGCAGCTGTGTCAAGTCGAATTTTCGGGAAATCTAAGAGAAGCAGTGAGGAGTATGTAAGTAGATAAGGGGCAGCTGAGGCCCTGAGGGAAAAAAACTTTCTAGGCTGCAGGCTTGTTTACCCAGAAGGAAAGGAAAACAAAGGGGTGGGACCCAAAAAAGGAATGCCTTCAAGTCTCCAAGTGAGAAGTTACAGCAGCTGGCGGTAATTCAACACTGCAGGGGTTCCAGAAGTCAGAAAAGGCAGTTGACTGGTGATGGGAGGGAGCCGAGTGGAGGGAAGGGAAACCTAGAAACCTTGGCCGACCTGGGCAGGTAGCCACCCAGGCCTGGGATCTTGAGAATGTTACAGTGCAGGAGGTGTAGTCAACTTTAGCACGGGAGCCGGGGCACCAGGGTTCTATTCCCAGGTTTAATGTAGGAACTCGGATGTCTCGCATCTTTCCTGAACCTAAAAGCTTTCAAAGTTACATTTCCACTCTGAATACTCGCCACAGGACATTTCTGCCTTTGAAGGATGACATGAAACACACAGGGAAGTCACTAATCTACTAGACACTGACTGGGAATACGAAAGCTTGAGTGGGAGGCCAGAGATGGAGCCCAGAGCAGACGTAGAGGCTTACGTAGGAAGAAATGGGGAACCGAGGGGTTTGGTTGGGTAACCCCGTTTCCAGTTCCCCCTTTTTCCTCTTCCTAACCTAGCCTCACCTTATGTGGTGAGGGCAGGGTAGCACAGACCGGTCCCTCACCTATCCTCCGGTTCCCCATCGCAGTCTCTCACAACATCCCTGGCGCCCCGCCCTCCTCCAGAGCAGTACCCAGGGGACCAGAGCAGAAGCATCCTTGGAGTCGTCTGGCTTAAACCGAGCATAGCTAACACTTTCGGGGCTCCCCCCCCCCCCATGTGCACGCAATTGAGCTGTAAACTTAAATGTATTACTTTCTTTACAGCAATCCAAGGAGTCACCGTTGCCTTGTTTTACACAAGAAGAAACTGAGGCAAAATCTTAAGTAACCTACACAAGGTCACACATCGGCTGCTTGGCGGGGCAGGCTTGCTCCGGTTCCCTCGCACGGACTCAGGCAGCTGAGGACCACTTATTGCATCCTTACCTCTCTGATCCAAAAATCTTCAGGCAGCGCCAGCCCACGTGACCTTTAGGTTCCCCCTCCTTCTCTTAGAGGCCCGCCCCACGGGCAGGTGGCGCGCGGGCGCGGGGGCGTGGCGGGGGCGTGGCCGGAAGCCTTAAAGCCACTGTGAGCCGGGTGGGCGGGCCAGACCGAGGACAGCGGCTACTTTCTGGCTTCCTAGCCCGGTGCGGCGTCCGCCACCATGTCCCTGGCGGCCTCAGCGGGCCGGGGGCCGGGGACCATGTGGTCCCCTACACACGTGCAAGTGACGGTGCTACAGGCGCGGGGCCTGCGGGCCAAGGGTCCCGGGGGCACGAGCGACGCGTACGCGGTGATCCAGGTAGGCAAGGAGAAGTACGCCACGTCGGTGTCGGAGCGCAGCCTGGGCGCGCCCGTGTGGCGCGAGGAAGCCACCTTCGAGCTGCCGCCGCTGCTGTCCTCCGGGGCCGCGCCCGCCGCCGCCGCCACCCTGCAGCTCACCGTCCTGCACCGGGCGCTGCTCGGTCTCGATAAGTTCCTGGGCCGCGCCGAGGTGGACCTGCGGGATCTGCACCGGGATCAGGGCCGCAGGAAGAAGCAGTGAGTGGCCGCGGGGCGCGGGGAGTCGAGGGGAGGAAGGACGCTCGGGCAGCGCACCTTGGGGGCGAGCGTGGCAGCCACCGCGCCATGGGAGGGAAGTCTTTGGCTCCCCCTCGCCCGCAGTCTCACCTAACCCAGCTTCTCTTCTGGCTGTCAAGTTCCAGTTCTCCCAGTTGTGGGGGCTTTTGGAAGACAGGAGAACTTTTGAATCCTCAGGGCACCCTTTTAGACCGCACAGCACACTAAGCACTAGATAAAGTTCTGATGAACTGAAACAATATGCAGGTAGGAGAATTCCTATTACGTTGGATATCTGCTTTATCTTACATGGACGCTCCCCTGGGTGTTTTGTTGAGCTTGAGGCTTCGAGCTGAAAACCCTTGGGCCAGGGAGGGAAACCGATTGGTGTGAAAGCTCAATACTCCAGAGCTGGACGAGCGCTGGGAGGGTGGTTAGAAGAAAGGAGAGGATGAGAATGGGAGAAAACCACCAGCCTGGGGATTGCTGATTCTCTTGCCCACCTGATTCTACCCCTCGGAATGAACTCCAGAACAGTTTGTTGTTTGTCTGGGGGAATTAATGGTAGTTGATTGTTCCAAGATCTGTCACTGGCTCAGTAAAAGTGAACATTGTTGCTCTTTGGAGTTTGGTAAATTCTATCTGGTTCTAATTCCTGGTTCCGTGGCTACTCACTAGCCTACCTATGGCTCCTCAATTGAAGATTCTGACAGGACATCCTAACTCTGCAGAAAAATTTGGGCAAACCCCAGTTCACTTTATAGTCTTACAGATTAATTTGGGTTTTTTGTTGTTGTTGTTGTTCACTGCTGTTTGCAAAGGACGCCTTAACCAATGGAACCTTTGATTATGTTTATCTCATGTACCAAAGAGAGCTTGGATTAGCCTAGCTGGTTACTTTGCTTGACCTTATAGATGCCAGCTCTGTTACCACCAAAACCCTACAGGTTGAGAAACACACCCGTGTGTTCCTTCCTTGTACTTAGGATATGCTGGGCGTTTTAACTTTTTCTTGGGATGGGGCAGGAGCCAGAGGAGCTGAATTTTTCCAGGCTAGGAAAGCATTGTTTCAGCAAGCATATTTACAATTGAAATACCTGATTCATTCATTCTTTCTTTTGTGTGTGTGTGTGTGGCCACAGATTTTTAGGCATTTCTGAACACAGATTTTTAAAAGGAAAGCCTTGAAGCTAACTGGGGTATCCTGAAACATCCACTTACAAGCCATACTGTATCCGCAGAAGGGGAGCCAAAGTTACCCTTATTTCCTACCTTGATTAAATGACATTTGAGGGGCTTGGGTTGTTGGCTATTGGCTCTTTGACTTGCCCCATTCCAAGATGGATGTTCACGTTTCTATTTACTGTTTCCTTTATGACTATTTAATCCCCCTTGCAGGACAGATTACATCCCAGAGATAGGGGTTCCCCAGTCCTAGGTCTGATGTCCACTTGCTCCTGACTCATAGCTGGGTTGCTCTGCCTCCAAACACCCCAGTTTCCCTATTTATAAACGGAGCATGCTGCTATACCCTTAATTGGTGTTTGTAAAGGGTTGCTGCTTCCTGGGTGATGAAGCCAGCAGGGTGAAGGTTCAAAAGGCCCTGCACTACCGTGAGAGGGATGAAAACCTCCTTACACCCTCTTTCTTCTCCGTATCCTTTTCCCTCTTTTTCTCTAAGATAACCCTAAACCTACATGGTCACTCCTGTTTCTGTCACATGAGCTGGTTACCACTTAGTCACAACATTGACTGGCAGGGAGATTGTGCTTACTTAGTGGGTTTTTATAACTGACATAGGATGTCTTTGCTTTCCAAAAAGTAGGTGAAATCGCAAAGTTTCCATCTACTAGGAAGCTAGGGGCTTTCCCAGCTGCTGGGGGAACCCATTTAAACTAAGCCTGTATTACGCCCTTGTATAACAACAAGATGCCCTAGATAACTGAGAGGTGAAAAAAAAACGATACAGCCCAAGAGCTGGAAGTTTTAACAGGAAAAAAAACCAAAAAACAAAAAAAACCAAAAAACATGTTTGACTAGAAAATCAATTTGAACTAGTTATTAATGGTTTGATTATGTGTCCATCTTATGTGTTAAAAATCAGAAACAAAAGCTAAAATCTTGATCTGCTCTGTGTGTGTGTATCTAACAAAACAGGACAGGGGGTGATTTTTCTTAGAGTTTCAGACACTTAAATTTGAGGTCCGTTATCACATTAAGAGCCAACTTCTTAATGGTTCTGTTGATAAGCCCTATATAGCAGATTTACTTGCAGACAAGGAAACATGCTTTTTATCATGATTCTGAAGTTGCTGACCTCAAATTTAGTGTAATGACACACTTTGAAAGTGCCAAGTAGCCTAATATGTAGGACAGGATCCATTTAATAGCAAGGAATATGTGGCCTTCAGTTAGGAAAAATGGACAGGACTTAATATTACTCTTTTCAATCTGTTAAAGACCTGAGGTTTCAGTGGGCGTTGGTTAATAGTAGTGAGTTAAATACTGAGATGACAGCAGACATGAAGCAGAAGTATTTCAGGTAAGTAGCATGCAGGACCTCCAGCCCAGCTACCTAGTCTCGTGTAGTAGATTGCTTTAAAACAAAACCAGACAAACCTTAAGATGCTAAGAGCCATAAAATTTGGGAAATGATCTCTTAGAGGTAGTTTAAGATATTTATTCAGCCTGGGGAGCCGGAGGATCATTATGCAAGGAAACATCATAAAACTTACTACTGCAGTCATCTTCAGGATTTTAAGACAGGGAGGCAGTGGTGGAGGGTCCACTTCTTCCATCTGCTGAAACTCAAATGCCTGCCTCTGAAATACTGTAGAGGTTAGATATTTTGAAAATCTTTAAAAAAAAATAGTCAGGTGCTGAAATAAGTTACCAGTGGGGAAAAAAATTGGGTGATTAAAAATAAGCGCTGAGTCCTTGTTTTCCTAAGAGACTTAGCCTAGAGAAATGGCTTACCTGACCATAGAGGTCATGAAGTCACAAAAAGCTGCTGGAGATGCTGTTAGGCTTCTTTTTTGTTTGTTTTTCGAGACAGGGTTTCTCTGTGTAGTCCTGGCTGTCCTGGAACTCACTCTGTAGACCAGGCTGGCCTCGAACTCAGAAATCCGCCTGCCTCTGCCTCCCATGTGCTGGGATTAAAGCCGTGCGCCGCTGCCACCACCCGGCACGCTTAGGCTTCTTATGCACATTTAAACTGTTTTATAGCAGAATGGAAAATTCAAGGAATACTGTTTCTAGTTTCCTTTCTTTCTCGCTTTCTCTTTCTTCCTCCCCCCTCTCTCTTTCTCTCTCTTTCTTTTTCTCCCTCCCTCCCTTTCTCCTTCCTTCCTTCCTTCCTTCCTTCCTTCCTTCCTTTCTTTCTTCCTTTCTTTCTTTCTTTCTTTCTTGTAATTTTCCTTAAAGATAATGTTGGTCCTTCCTGGAAATGTTCATCTCAGCTGACAGGATGGGCCCCCCCTCCTACCCCAGTGTAGAAAACTGAGCTCCCGGATCTCTTGTAGATCCTGTGATAAACAACCCTCGCTCATGTTGGCTGTGGAATGAAATGAACATCAGAAGCATCAAAGTTGTCACCAGGTGATAGCATTACTAGTAATTTCACTTGTTAGACATTCAGTTAGCATAGAGGAAGTTCCGGCCCTGCCCCCTTCTCATCTCTAAAGTATATCCATTCTTTGCTAAAAAAATTTTTTTCTGGTACTAGGAATTGAACTCATGGCCTGACATATGCCAAGTGAGCTCTCTGAACCCTTGAACTCTATTCTCAACCCTCCAAAATACTTTTGTGTGAGTATGCGTGCATATATGCGGGTACAGGAAGAGGCCAGAGGTTGGCAGCAGGTGATTTCTTCAAGATTGTTCTCTTCTTCATTTATTAGGCAAGGTCTCTTTCAGTTGAGCTGAGAGTGTCTAGCTAGCTGGCTTGTTCTGGGGATCCCTTGTACCTGGCTCAGATTGCTGGTGGGCCAGCACACCTGTCTGACATTTACATGGATCCGAGGGGATTAGAACTCTGCTCTTCAGGGTTGTGAGGCAAGTGCTTTGCCCATTAAGTCATCTCTCCATCTTCCTTATTATCTGAGACAGGGTTTCTGGATGAACCTGGATCTCGTTACTGTGCCTAAGCTGGCTACCCAGTAAGCTGCAAGGTCCTATCTCTCTTTAGTTGCCCCAGTGCTGGGGTTACAGATACCTGCTTCTGTGCCTGGCTTTTGCATTGTGCTAGGATCCAAATTTGGGCCCTTATGCTTCCATGACAAGCACTTTCTACACTTCATCAGCTGGGCCAAAAATATTCTTTATGATTGCTGTGCGCCAGATGCCAGAGAGGCAGTATGCTTGCTTTGGGAAGTTCAGAGCCTTGTTGGGAAGTAGATCTTAACCAAAAGAACACAAGAAAAAAAAATAGTATACTGTGCTAAATCGTGGAGAGGGAAAGAACAAGCTATCAAAATCAAAAGATCAGCACTGGAGAGATGCCTGGCAGTTAAGAGCATTGGCTGCTGTTTCAGAGGACCAGGGTTCGATTCCCTGCGCTTATGTGGTGGCTAACAACTATCAATAACTACTGTTCTAAGGTTTCCAGTGCTGTCTTCTGGCCCCTAAGGACACTGCATGCACATGGTGAGCAGGCCTATGTGCAACGGAAACACACACACACACACACACACACACACACACACACAAAGTCAATATAAGAAATATATCCGAGAAAAAAGATTTATAAAATAAAAATGATCAGGGGCTGGAGAGATGGTTCAGCCGTTAAGAGCATTGTATACTCTTTCAGAAGTCCTGGGTTCGATTCCCTGCACTCACATGACAGCTCCCAGCTGTCTGGAACTCCTTTTCCAGGGCATTTGTTGCATTCTGTCCTCTGAGGCTACTGGATGGATGTAGTGCACTTACATCTGTGCAGACAAAATACCCATATGCACAAAATAAATAAATCTAAAAGGAAA